CTAGAATAGTATCTCGTACCTGATAGTGCTCAATAGTACTTTTTTTAAATAAATACAGGTATAAACACGTGAAATTGTTATGGGAGCTCTTGAAGACATAGTTGACTTGGAGTTTGAACTTGGATAGGTGGTAATGGCGTTAAGAGAAAGCCTGCACTTAGGAATAAGTCGAGCCATTTGGGGGCCAGATGAGGAGTGCAGTGTGAGACATGTTGGATTTTAGACACCAGCTGGACATATTTCTTTAGGAGTTCAGGGCTAGGAGAGGAAGAAGATATGTGACATACTGTGGCTGTAGTTGTCGGGGAAGGCATCCTGGAAGAGTGGTTTAACAGAACCACTAAAGATGGGTAGGATATGACTAGATGAAGAGGGACCTGAAGTCCAAAGGGGTCTGGGAAACTGAAGACTTCTTTGGGAGGATGGGGGGAGTGGCTGCCGAGAGAGGCCTTAGAAGAGATCTGTGAATAGACCTCTTTAACTAGAGTGGAGTTGGGAGATGATAGACAAACCCAGGGGCTTCGGTGTTCTAGTAAGCTTACCGTTTGTTATCCTGCCTGGATAGGAGAAAACTGAGGACCAAGAGTGGGGTTACGGCTGCCATGCTGCCAGCTCTCTGAGAGTCAGGAGGCCTGAGTCATGCCCTCCATCTACCTCGGCCAATTTCATCCCTCTCTCTACTGCTTCAGGTCAAACTAAAGTCAGGTGTGTCTTTAATTTATGCCTGTGCAAGGGCAGTAGGAGTCCGTGTGGCCATCGTAATCACACTAGGTCTTAGGTTTAATATTATCCCAAAATCTAGTTTAAAACAAACAAACACTCCTTTTTTTGGATGGAGATGTGTTAGTGAAATTAGTCCTTTATGTTAAAACCATGGGTTCTGCTTTTTTCTTCCTTAATTCACGAACAGAAACAAAAATATTTTCATTCAATGAAACATTAGAATTTTCAAAGTGATATAATTAAATAAAAGGAAACTTCTCACCCTTCTCAATTGACGTTAAAAATTAATTTTATATTATACAAAGAGACAAGCCTCTCCTTGTTTGAAAAACAAAACAAAACAATGTGTTCTTAGTCTTATCAACTCATCGTGATGAATTTCACAGTTTGGTTTCATCCTTCTGAGGTGAAAGTTTACCAGGGAGAAGTGTCTCCCTTTCTAAAATAGATCAATTCCACTCTATGATGTGACTTTTAAAATTGTTATTTTTGTTTTTCTGTTTTATTTTTTGAGAATGGAATGCAGAACTTGAGATGATCATGATTAGTTAAACCAAACAAACTCACTGCCGTTGATTCAGATCCGACTCATAGTGACCCCTCCTTGGTTTTCCGAGGCAGTATCTCTATAGAAGTATATTGCCCAATCTTCCTTCCAAGGAGTGGCTGGTGGGTTTGAACTGCCTACCTTCTGGTTAGCAGTCAAATGTCTTCCGCACTATGTCACCAGAGCTCCTCATGATTAGCAGTTGTTAAATGATCTCTTGTGCCAGACACTGTTCTAAGCACCTTATGTGTATTACTTCACTTAACTGTTGTGCCAGCAAGACTCCTTCACTCAGACTAACCTAATTCATATCTCAAGGTTATTATTCAACACACTTTCTACATCATAGCTTATTCTTTAGTCATTTGAAGGGGCAAAATGACACTGTGAGCCCTCTATAGACAGAAATTTCCTATCATGATGACATGGTGGCCACGTTTTCAGAAAACTCTGAGGCTGAGGAATGGTATCTTAGCTTATCTTTGATTTAAAATAGAGGGGACCGATGTAAAATGTCACAGTGAAATATTTTCTGCAATATAAGTTCTTTCAGCTTTGGTTATTATAAATAGTCCTTTTGAGTTTTGTTTATATTTTTAATTATCCACAAGCATTATTCTCTGGTAGTGTAGTGCCTAAGGCACTTGACTGCTAACCAGAAGGCTGGCAGTTCAAACCCACCAGCCACTCCTCAGAAGGAAGGTTGGGCAATCTACTTCTGTAGTGATACTGCCTTGGAAACCCAAGGAGGGGTTGCGATGAGTCGGGTCCGACTCAGCAGCACATAACAACAACAACATATTATATCTCCTTGATACATGCTAAATAAATAAAAAAGGAAAGTTTAGAACTATACATTGCATATCTAGTTTTTGAAATTCTTATAATTGCAATTTTTATTTTCATATTGTATAACATTACAGATGAAAAGTAATTCATTTACATTAGTCACATATATTTATTTACCCCACAAAGTTATGGGATGATTTTTTATCATCTTTAAACTCTGACTATCTGGAAATTGGGTGCTCTGGTAGTATAGTGCCTAAGGCACTTGACTGCTAACCAGAAGACTGGTGGTTCAAACCTACCAGCCACTCCTTGGAAGGAAGGTTGGGCAATCTACTTCCATAGTGATACCACCTTGGCAACCCAAGGAGGGGTCGCTATGAGTCAGGGCCGACTCAACAGCATATAACAACAACAACAACAACCTGGAAATTGCAAATTCATCGATATTTCTAAGACATATAGTGATACAGTTGTATCACATATAAAGAAATACAGCCATTCCATCAACATGTATCTTTAAAGGGGTATTTGTTTAGGGGATTTATTTCAAATGGTTAGAGTGATTAATATAGGTATATAGATACAGATATGATGTACTTCATATGTATATATGTGTGTGTGTGTGTGTGTGTGTATTGCCAAAGAGGCAGGGAGGTCACATCTTCTGACCTCCTCTAACCCCACAAGAAGAAGACAGAATCACCATCAGCAGCCCAAAGTCTATTCCTGTGAGGCCAGATATGGTGCCTCCCCCCAGCCCTTTCACCAACCCTGACACCAATCATTCCTTTTGCAGCACCTACCACCTCTCTACTGGGTTCGATAATTCGCTGCAGTGGCCATGCATAATTCACAGATTATGGGGTTTATTAGGGCAGCAACAGGCTACAATTCAAGTTCAGGAACACAGGCTCTCTCAGTCTCTCTTCCAGCAGTACATGTCTCTCAGTATCTCTCTCAGCAATGCATGTCTCTCACATCTCTCTCTCAGCAAATGCATGTCTCTCAGGAGCATGTTTCTCTTGGCAACACATCTTTCTCAGTCAGCAGTCAGAGAGACTCCTTCTGCCTGTAGGAGGGCTCCTTTTGAGCCTGGCAGAGTGGCCAAACTAACCAATTCCAACATCAGAATTCTATGCACCTGAGAGAGAGAACTTCCCAGAAGATTGCTTCATGCCACTGTCAACAGAAATGGCCCAGGTGGATAACTTTAACAATCAGGAGCTACTCAGTTACTCATGGCAAATTCCACCATGGAGTTTACAAAGACTTATGGCTAGAAAAGACATACCAGGTAATTTACTACACTGCATATATATATAATGGTGGCATCCAAATATTCCATGCATTTACATGCTTTACACAGAACTGTAAGTTGTACCAAAAATGCGATGTTTTCAAGCTGTGGTTTGGGGTATGTGAGTGTCCCTGAGGGACTGGCACTGGTGGGCTCCAGTCTCTTCATGACAGCTTCAATCAGACACTTTCCATTATTTTTCCAAATAAGGCTTCCAGGAAAGTTTTCTTTGAAAATAAGTTTTCTCCCACTATGTAAAAACAATTATTAGAAGATAATTGATTTTCTAGATTTATTCAGAAAATAATATTTAGATTATGTACTAAAGACATCTTTTAAAGATATCTCCATTATTTGTTTTCTTTAATGAATTAATGAATAAAATTGACATTAGTTAAGTATCTGATTGTCTGCAATATGAATGAGGCCCTTTCTAGTCAGGGTACTTATTTCAGTATAGGTTTTTATCAAACGAGTCTCTCACGATTGTGTAAGAGTCATGCTGCCATCACTCCTAGTAACACTACAATGAACTCTAGTGACCAAAAGTTTTTATAGGCAATGACTTCACTAGGGCTTGTCTAGACAGCAGTTACTCTCTAAAATCAAAGCATGTTGGGGCTGGCTGGAAGAGATTTAACAGAGATTCTGTTACTTAGATGGCCCAAATGTTCTGTTTGCCATTGTATCCATGGTTTTGGGGTTTGAGGGATGGTGAGACCAATGACTTCAGCTTGGAAAGTGGAAAACTGATAGGCATAAATATGGGGAAGGGCTTAACTGTGGTTTTGGATGCAAGTATAAACATACAAAGTGTTCTTGTTTGGAAACAGCAGCAAATTTAAAACAAATTTGATGTTTGATCATTTCTACCAAAAGGAAGAAGCTGTACCCAGAGAAAGCAGTTTTAGTCAATAAATTTGCAACTTTTTAGATAGACTCTTCTCAGCAAAGTAATACTAGTTTTGTACCAAAATAATGCTAGTGTTTTATTTCTTGCTAATGAACTCTATATGCTATCAAATAGTTAATTGTGAATGGAATTTGGATTGTATCTACATGGTTCTCCAACCTGCAGTCATTTTAGTCAAGACAACAAAAATAGTCAAAAGAAAAACTGATTGACTTCAACTGTTTTAATTGGTTGTTTTATTCTCCTAGCTATTGACATAAAACTACCAGAACTCTGTATTCCCACAGTTTTACCAGCCAGAGAACGGCAAAGACCGCTATGTACACGAGGTAGTCCAAAGGAATCCAGTGGCTTTGAATCAGTTGATTTAGGTTTGGTCTAAGTGCCTTGGGTGAAAATAGCCTTGTCTAAGAGAAAGTGCCTTGAGAAGACTTTATGTGACTGGGTGTTCAAACAACTGGAGGTTGGGACAGTTGGTCCCTGAGTGCCCTGAGGTCAAATATTAGCTGAGCTTCTCATTAACTTAGTAAAAGTGAGAAAATGACTTTTGTCTATGAGACTTTCTCTAAAAAAAAGTACTAGTAATTTCCTGATTTTGACTTACTGAAAATAAATATAAAATGCTTTGTAGTTGTATGGTGAAAAGTTGTGTTGTGAAGTATACTTTGCTTTATTTAATCCTTGTGAATAAATTCTTCTCTCTCCTTGTGACTGCCATATTTCTGCAGGAAGCTGCCCTCTGCAGACAGCTCCCCATGGAAGCCGAGACTCTGGCCACGATTCAGGCTGCTGTCAACCCGCCTGCCATGACCCCAGACATGAGATCCATCACTAATAATGGCTCAGATCCTTTCCTCAATGGGTGAGTTAACATTTGGGGGCCATTAATTTTTGGTGGCTTTATTATGTGATCGAGAATGTCACAGGTCTTTGTTTACGTAAGGAAAATGTGAGGAGCTTGGGGGGTGGAGTGAGGATAAAAGGAAGTGAGGGGAGGTAGCAGGAAAAAATGAAAAGAAAAGCAGAGAAAGTCATCTCCATTTCTTAAAATCTTAACTTCAAAACGAGTTAGTTATATGTCATAGAGTAAACCCTGAGTTAGAAATTTGTATATGGAGATAAACTTATAATTTTAACAGGATGGTGTTGTATAGTAATTACTTGGAAGAATTTTGCACTTTTATGTAGTCAGCAGGGGACAAAAGCATGCCATACGGCAAACAGAGAACAAAACATTTAAGAGATAATGTTTATGGTGAAATCTGAATAAAGTCTATAATTTAGCCAATACCAAAAAAAAAAAAAAACCCACCAAACTTAACTGCCATTGAGTCGGATCCAACTCATAGCGACTCCTCCTTGGGTTTGTGAGGTGGTATCACTGTGGGAGTAGATTGCCCAACCTTCCTTCTGAGGAGTGGTGGTGGGTTTGAACCATCAGCCTTCCGGTTAGCAGCCTTAGGCACTATGCCACCAGAGCTCCTGGTTTAGCCAATAGTATTATACAATGTCTGCTTCCTGGTTTTGATAAATTGTACTCTGTTTATGTAAGATGTTATCATTGGGGGAAACTGGGTGAAGAATACACAGGAATTCTCTGTATTCTTTTGCAACTTCATTGTGAGTCTAAAATTATTTCATAGTAGAACATTTAATTTAAAAAAATTAAAAATGAAACATGTGAACAGATGGAAAAGGAAAGTTAGCCAGAAATATACTCATGAGTATAAGCAGTCAACCTTAAATATAGTCTTTTAAACCCTATTTCATTTCCTGTGCCTTTTGTACCCTTGGAGAAGCTTCTGGAAAGCAAACAATACAATTATGAGAGCTATTAAAGATAAAGAGATCCTTGATAGAGAGGGAGAACAATGTGGAACAAAACTCAAAACCATTGGAGGAAAAAAAGGGGGGGGACCAGGTTTGCTGGTCCGATAGAGCCGGATGGAACCACTGAGACTATGGCCCCTAGCTGCCCTTCAGATCTGGAATAGAACCCACACCTGTGGTTTCCAGCCAAACAAAAGACAGGCATATGAGTTGAACATTTACCTCAAGTAGATACACTCCTTGGAGAGAACAATCATGGGAGAAAGAAGGGCTGCTTATGCACAGGGAGACAGCTCAGGGGGCAGGAGCCCATGGAGGGATGGACACTGGGAAGAGGTAACTGTGGGGAGGTGGTGGGAGGGGAGCTATTGCATTGTGGTAAACTGTGGTCAATGTCATGAGACAAAGTGTATGTGAACTGCTGTATGGAAGATAAATTTGCTCTGTAAATCTTCACGAAAATCACAATTAAAAAAAAAAAAAGATAAAGAGAGGAAAATTGAGTAAAACAAAGATTAAAACAAACTAACCAAGAAAAAGGGAATACATTCTTAAATTACTGCTTTTAAAGTACTTTAAATGTATGAAAAATTATAAAGAATAATGTAAGAGTTATCCATATACCCACCACCCAGATTCTTCTTCTTTCTGATTTTTTTTTAAATACAATGTTACAAATAACATTTTAACCCCATACCCACCACCAGTGAATTCCATCTCCTTCCCTTCTTCCTTCCTCTGTGGTAGCCACTATCCTGAAATTGGTGTGTGCTCATCACAAATATTTTATACTTTTTCTGCTTATTTATATGTGTATCCAATATCCAATACAGTTTTCTAATTAGAAATGTGCTTTTATATAAATAGTATCATACTCTATATGTAGAATGCATTTCAGTTGCTATTTTAAGAGAAAAGGAAATCAATGCCAGTTTACTGTGAGTGGCCAGTTTTATTTTTTTTTCATTGACATTGGGATTTATATTTCAAGTGGAAAGGAAATGCAGCATCTGCTTCCCCTTCATGACCTGAAAAGATGGGCAGAAAGGACCACACTAGTTTAGGGTTTTCATGACTGTATTTTAATTTTGCAATTCATTTAGTGGGCTCACTTTGAAGTTGCTCTGTCTTTTGCTCTTCAGAGGGCCCTATCATTCGAGGGAACAGAGCACTGACAGTGGCCTGGGCCTGGGATGCTACAGTGTCCCGACCACTCCAGAAGACTTCCTTAGCAACGTGGACGAGATGGACACAGGTAGGACCAGAGGCTGTGAGTGCTTGCAGCGTGCTTGTCATTTTTAAATGATCTCTCTGTCATCTCAATTCTAAATTCCAATAATTAACTGTCAACATAAAATAACAACGAAAAGCCACCTGACCCCCAGCCACTATTAATAAACTCTAGCCACCACCTGCCTGTTGTCTATACAAATATAATTTCACATAAGGACACAGGATTTGAAGTTCATTTTTTCTTTTTTTGCTTATCTTTACTTCCTATAGCCCCTTCCTTACAGTTTCATTAAGATAACCACTGTCTGCTTTACCCTTCTTCCCAATGGGATATTTGTGCTGTTTTTAGTTGTAATGTATAGGCTACTTTTTCTCTTGAGATACTGCACTGCTTTATAGTTCTATATGCTTTTACTAGCATGCAAATTTTCCTGTGACATTGACTACGTTTAGGAAGCAGTTGACAGTGGATATTTGGAAAGTGAAGCAACTCAGAAGATTCTAAGTTGTGATCTCCAGCTTCTAATATGGCAGCAGTATACTCCCTCAGCAATCAGAAAGAGGGGAGTCAGGGTGACTTTTACCTAGTCCACAGCCTGTACGGCCTTCAAGCCAGCCTCCAGCAGGCTTCTCAGGTTCTTCTTGTCCCCGTTTTTCAGGAGTGAGACCTCCAATTGGAAAAACCAAATGAGTGTTATTAGTCTAGATTTCATTGGGAGCAGTGGTGGTTTAGTGGTAGAATTCTCCCCTTCCATGTGGGAGACCTGGGTCTAATTCCTGGCCGGTTCACCTCGTGGCCAGCCACCACCCATCTGTCAGCGGAGGTGTTGTTAATGATATGCTGAACAGGTTTCAGCAGAGCCTCCAGACAGAGAGGGACTAGGAATAAGGCCTGACAATCTACTTCTGCAAATCAGCCACTGAAAACCCACCCTTTGGGAAAAAACAGTCTGATCTGCAACCTTTCATGGAGATGGTGCACGCCTGGGAGTGTTTTATTCTCTTGTGCATGGGGTTACCACGAATGGGCACTGACTTGCCAGCAGCCAACAAAAACAGAGTTCGTTAGTTATGAAAGTTATAAACTCCCAGAAGATATTCTAAAGCCAAAAATAAATGGCAGCTGAGGTATCTATTATTTACAGTTACTCATGCAAGTATCTCTTCCACCATCACTGAGGGTAGAAAATTTTTCTGTGATGAAAATAAACAGTTGCACTTACCCATATTGTGTGTGTTACTCTCTGCTCCTAGATGACTTCTCTTCTCACTCTGCATCCAAATTGTTGGTGACACCAAAAGTCACATGGTTAGCCAGGTGTCACATAAGTATAGTGACAGGGGGAACAGCTGCTCTCAAGTCTTATTGTGGGCTGTCACCTGTGCACTTAGAAGACAGCCAGTTTGCCCTGTGGGGAGTCACCCAGGAATGATTTGCAATGTTTGTTGTGCTATTCTTCAGTCTATTACTTCAGTTTCACCCTCCTGCCCTCCTGCTCTCTCTTTCTTCTTCTCTCTCTGTATGTTTTGGTTAAGATTTGTTTTGGCTTCTGGAGAACAGCATTATGAAGTGACTCCTTCCTACGTTTAGTAATTGTTTACTTTCATCTTTCAAACACTGAAAAGCTAATAAGAATGAAAACAAAGTTAAGAAAGGAAAAACTTAGGAGATCAAAATCTAAGCTTGACATTAAGAAAAAGAAAGATGGATTCTATTATATAGGAAGTGTTTTGAAGACATAATGTGAAATTTAGTGCTGTTCTGAACAGAAAATAATATTTGAAGACAAACTCGGGCTTGCATCCTTGCTCCTCCACTTGTTGGCTGTGCCTTTGGGTTGTAACCTCTTTCCCACTTGTAAAACCAAAAATCCCACTGCATCGAGTCAATTCTGACTCATAGTGGCCCCATAAGACAGAGTAGAACTGTCCCATAGGGTTTCCAAGGCTGTAAATCTTTATGCAAGCAGAGTACCTCATCTTTCTCCTACAGAGAAGCTCTGATGGGTTTGAACTGCCAACCTTTTGGTTAGCAGTCCAGTGCTTTAACCACAGTGCCACCAGATCTCTTCTCAGTGGGAGAAATATCCTACTTCATAGAGTAGTGAGGAGCCTTGAGATTACAGAGCTCTTCATAGAGTTTGCCTTCTAAGAAGACTAAAGTGATGTACAATATGATCTGGATAAATGCTTAGGCTCTAACTTAACCTAATTAGATGGGTGGCCTCATTGAGTTTAGTCCCTATAGGAAATGGGCTTAAACCACCTGAAGTGGAGGAATATAATTGTACAGTAACAAGATGAGGGAAAACCAGGGAGTTGGCAGGACACAGTGTGGGTAGAAAGGAACTTTTAGACCTGCTGACCACATGCTGACCATAGGTTGCGTGTTAAGGAGCCAGCTGAGCACGCCTGTGCAAAGCACATGTGCGAACAACCACTGGACCTGCTTGGTACAAGGACAGAGTAAAAGAGTAGACGAGTGAAGGTTGGGGAGCATCCAGCCTTCCAGAATATTCTGTACCAGTCCTACTCTTGTCAGAGTTGCCTTGTTTTTGTCCCTCCTGCTTTTTAAGCAATGTGGATAAAACTTCAAAAATCAAAAAGAGTACTAGGATTTTGCAAGTTTTTCCCAAAAGAGTTGTTTGTTTGGATAAAAATTACACTATTGAGTTACTGACTAAAATGGAAAATCAGTAGAGAAGGAGATGAAGAAAAAAGACATTCAGCACTTTTAGATCATATAATTTTTTACAACAGATAATTTTTAAAACCTTCATGTCTACCTTTTATACTCAAGTGAGGAGAAAAAAAATCAGTTTGGCTTTTCTTTTCTATTTTGGTGTTATTTTCACAATCTGAAACAGTATATTTTGGTGAGGTTATTAACACTATGTTGATGTTATATTGTTGAACTTGACTTATTTTTTTCAGATTACTGTTTAGCATTGCCTTTTGCAATGAAAACCCTGTAATATATTGTCCAGGAAACATCAATAATTTATGAAGCCATTAAGCTTTGTTATCACCCAAATACAAGTTTGATTGTTTCTCTCATCACTTGGAAAAATATATTTTTTCTTCTCGGAAAACATGTACAATTTACATGAATTTTCTGTAGTGTTTCTCAGAATATTGAAATTTCCATGCACCCCTTTCAGGAAGTCTGCTGCACTTTAAAATGCAAAAGCCAATTTAACAAGTTCCTTAAAAATGATGCCATGGTGGAAGTTGGACTTAGTTATCAGCACTTCTCAATCTTTCAGATAGATTTTATCACTTCAGAAAAAAATGTTTGTGGCTGTTTGAATTAACCTGTTATATAATTAACAGTGATTGAGTTCCTGAGCTTTTTCTTTTTCTCAGAACATCTGATCAACACATTTATTTTATTTTTTTATGTGTGTCTGTTTGTATGCATGAAAGATGCTAGAGCCATGAATATGTGTCAGACAGCATATGGCACTGTACTCAAACTCATGAAGAAGGTACCAATACACCATTTTACAGATGAGAAAACTGAGGGTCAGATAAGTATGTCTAATATCACACAGATAAAAAGCTCAGTTGACTGGCACCAAAGTTAATTTTCTCCCTTTCTTTCTCCCTCTAGTGCACCATTTTCTAAACTATGTCCTGCAGAACTCTAGTTCATTAGGATATTAATAAATTTATCCAAAATAGAATTGGGTGATTAAATGGATTTAGCAAATACTGGCTCAAACAAAATAAAACAGGTTTATTTACTGCAAGACATCTCTGAACCTTAGTATGCTCATGTGCATTGTGGCCCTCTGAGGATAGATAGTTTTGAGGGGTAGTTGTGTGTAAAGGGGAGGGGGAAGGTCTACCCAAACCCAAACCTACTACCATCAAGTTGTTCAGACTCATAGTGGACCCCCATAGGGTTTCCAAGGCATAAATCTGTACAAAAGCAGATAGCCTCCATGAGAGAATAGAAGGGCTGAGTATATACAGGGACATAGCTCAGGGGGCAGGAGTGCATGGCGGGAAGGACACAGGAAAGAGGTAACTATCGAGAGGAAGTAGGAGAGGAGCTGTTGCATTGTAGTAAATTATAGTCATTGTCATGAGACAGTGTATGTGAACTGCTGTATGGAAAGTGAATTTGCTCTGTAAACTTTCACCCATATCACAATTTAAAAAAAAAAAAAGAAAAAACCAGAGAGCCTCGTCTTTCTTCAACAGAGCAGCTGGTGGGTTCAAACAACCATCCTTTTGGTTAGCAACCCAATACCTTAACCACAGCACCACCAGAACTCTGGGGAAGATCTACAGAACTCACTTTATAAAATACTTTGACAATGATGCTGTGGTGGTTATGTTTTTCTGTCAACTTGGCTGGGCCTGGTTGAGTGGCTGGGCAGCTGGATGTAGTATTCCCCATGATGAGACTGGTAATCAACTCCATGGTGGAATCTACTGGGAGCAGCTGAGTAGCTGCCTTTGGCTATGTGGTCTGCTTCCCGTATATAAACAGCAGCTTTGGGGATGGCCTCTAGCCTTTGGCATGCTTGGACCCTGCATGTAGCCATGTCGTTGTTCAGCAGCCTGCCTTACTCTGCCAACCTTGGGACCCAAAATGGATTTAAGTTAATGGCCTGCCGTGTGGTTTGGTAACATAGGGATTGTGCCATTTTATTTGTCAACCTTGGGCTTCTCAGCCTCAGCAGCCAGCAGCTGTCTGAGTGAAGAAACTCCTCTAGCTTTAGTGGGCCGGGAGCTGGAGGCAGAGCTGGACCTCAAGGTTGAGGGGCTTTCATCCAGCACCTAGAGCCTGGCACTTTGACCTTGGACTTAAAACCTCCAAATTGTAAGAATAAACTACTGTTTGTTAAGGCCATCCCATTTGTGGTATATTTCTTGTCAGAGCAGTACTAGGTAACCAGAACAGATGCCTAGAGCTATCAATGAAGCAGTTTTTAATAACATTGTTAAAAGAAACTCCTGCGCTATTGTCTTTGAACATAAAGAAGGATGTTTGGTTAAATCCTTAGATTGTTGTTGTTGCTATGTGCCCTCGAGTCGGCCCCGACTCATAGCGACCCCTCCTTGGGTTTCCGAGGCAGTATCACTATGGAAGTAGGATTGCCCAACCTTCCTTCCGAGGAGTGGCTCGTGGGTTTGAACCGCCAGCCGTCTGGTTAGCAGGCAAGTGTCTTAACCACTATGCTACCAGAGCTCCCAATCCTTAGATTATAGCACCGTATTATAGCACTGTAATAAGGTCTTTATTATTTGCCAGCTCTCTCTATCACAAAACAGCTCTTCTGTCAGGGGAGAGCTCAGACCACAGGTCAGATCCACAGTACTTTTGGCATGCTCCTTTCTTATGTCCCTGGACTGTCCATTCTGGACCACATGTGCGGAGACACACAAGAGATTCACCTACCATCTATGAGTGTGGGTCACCCAAATTACAATTAAAAAAAAATATTCAACTTGAGCTTTAAAAATCATTGTATGGATAGTAAAATTTTGCTCTATGGAATACAATATCATTTTGAATCCATGCTGGCTCTGATGGCTCTATGATTGTATTTACAAAGGCACACACAGTCCTACTGTAGAAATTCACCAAAGAGGTGAAATTTTTTAGACCTGCGGCATATCTAATCTTCTGTTTAAATGTAGGCACAGTGGAAATAAAAATAAGAGTTATATTAACATTTGAACTTTTCCTTTTTTAAGAGCTTAAAAAAGAGAGGGGGGTAAAAAAAAAAGCAAAAACCCTAAAATTGCTTTCTTTCATTTTCTTACAGCAGAAAATGCAGGGCAGACGCCCATGAACATCAATAACCAGCAGACCCGCTTCCCTGATTTTCTTGACTGTCTTCCGGGAACAAACGTTGATCTAGGAACTTTGGAATCTGAAGATCTGATCCCCCTTTTCAATGATGTAGAATCTGCTCTAAACAAAAGTGAGCCCTTTTTAACCTGGCTGTAATCAGTACCATTGTAACTTGGATGCAGCTGTAACCTGACATTTCCTGGGCCTCTTGGAAAAAACGACGGGTGAGAGCGAGTCTGCAGGTGCACCACTTTCGGCCTCCAAGACTCTTGCTCTCTACTTTCCATGTGGCCACTTTAATCATTGCCTGCATTTGATTGACAGTAACAAGTTAAACTCATAAATACTCTGTTTTCATTTTCTATAAGCCTGCATTCCTGTGATAGATTATGCAGAATTATTTCTCCTTTTTTCTCTCTAGTGCCCCACAACTAAGCTGTATGTGTGGTGGTTGAAATTCATAGATCAATTGATTTGAAACCATAAAAACCTGACCACAGGCAGTGACTTTTGATGGGCTGCTTGGTCCAGGAAATGTGCACAAAATTAGACCCAATTTTCAGTTTCAAAAACTGTATTGATGGCAATAGTATCAAATGCTTTAAAAAATATTCAACTTGAGCTTTAAAAATCATTGTATGGATAGTAAAATTTTGCTCTATGGAATACAATATCATTTTGAATCCATGCTGGCTCCGATGGCTCTATGACACTGTATTTACAAAGACACACACAGTCCTACTGTAGTCTAGCCATCATCATTTTACTGCAGAGCATCTAGGCAACTAATCCTCCCAGTGGGAGAGTAGCAGCAGCATTAGTCGCAGTTCTCACACTGCAGATCTTGTGAAAGACACCAGTTTGGTACTAATTATGAGCATTTACTAAACAAGACATTTTAAAATTGCAACTTGGGTTTGTTTTTTTTTTTTTTTTTCTAATTGCAGCTTAGAATTTGATGTGGATGTTATAAAACACTGTAATTTTGTAGCCGATGACAAAAGATAGCCAAATATTTTTGATAAATCAGTGGCAAATGTCTTTTTGCCTTTTGAAACTCTTCTCAAAACATCAGGGCAATGGAGCTTTCAGCCTGATGGTACACGCAATAAGCAGTTGCTTTTTAAATTCTGAAGCTTTGACAGTTTTGCTTTTTGAGACTTCAGGTGTTTGAGATGATCTTATCTATGAAACTGAAGGATGAAGCAGATATCTGACTGATATGTCAGAAATGCCCTCTGAGGGCATAAGATGGAGACATAGGTTTCTGAATTCAGTAAAAATGGATCCCTTAGTATATCATCCTAACCTTGTTTTCTACAGTTGGTATAAAAAGACATAAAATATGTACTCAATACCTCTTACATAACCAGGAACATTGTTTGATTAGCTTTTAAGGACTGAGAGAGAGCATCAGACTCACCTGGCTTGCAGTCTGCCTGCCATGCCAATGAAGTCCTCAACTGCTTAATCCTTCCAACTGACATTATTTATAACCTATGAATTTCATCTCTTTAAAAATGCATTGTTTTTGGAAGACATTAATAATTCAGGTCTCTGAAAGGAACCTTTCAAATCCCAAGGGGGCTTATTTGTGGGGGATCTTAAATGGGATCCTCTTTGATACACCAGAATATAGACATGCAGAATACATTTTATCTTGTTGGGAAGAAGGCAAGTGAAAAGGTCAGAGATGAAGTAGCAAAGTTAAGGAAAATAGTGGAAAGGATACTAGTTGTGAAATGGAATTAGATAAGTAATGGTTCCCTAAAAGCAAGACAAGCAGGAGGTGTGAGAGGTGCCCAAAAAGAACAAAGCAACAATTTCCTACTACAACCTTTATACCAAGAGACTCTGTTGTAGAAGAAAAGAAGGCTTTGGTGCACTTTATGTGGAAGGAGGAAGGGCAGGGCTGGTATTGTCCTGCCCACATGATTGCTGAGCGTGTAGTGGGCGAGAGCGTAAACCTGCTGTGGCTTCCAATGCAATGATTTCTTTCTCTTAAAGGACCCGTGGTTTATGTTCCCCTGATTCCTTTCCCTCTCTCTGAGCACTCTGAGGGAGATGGGGTAGATAGATAGATGTCTATGTTGCTACTATTTGAAGGGAGCACTATTTCTTTTTCTTGTTCGTTAGCAATAATTACAAAGAGATTTGTACATTCGTTCTAAGAGAAAAAGAAAAACAAGGGACCTAACAAAACTGAGCAGTGTTACTGTATTTTTTAAAAAATATTTTTATAGACTCATTTTCAGGTTATTAAATGTAAGAAACAGACACCCCTCTTTTTTTTTAAGTAGTTAAAACATTGATGATTTTTGCATTACTCATTTTTAGAAGTAATTCTCTAAGAGGCTTGTGGCATTAGAAATACTAGAAGATTTTTTTTTTAGTGAAATTAGTTGGAACATTTATTAACAAATATCATAAATATTTTTCCAAAATGAAACATAGACCTTGACTATATGTTTACTAATAGACGAAGCAATATGTAATTTTTTGTCTGTGTTTTAAGGCTGTGAGTTTGGCCTTTATTAAAGAACACTAAAGCTAGAAATCCTAAAGTAAGGACAACTTTTTATTGGATATTTCCTAGCAGTGTAAGTATAAAATTCCCTAAAGAATTCATGATAAGGTGCTATTTATACTACATTTCTTATAATAAAGCAACTGCCAGGATATCCAGTCTTCTTGTTCCTAAATGAATCAAAACCTCACCATTTCACCCAATAATTTTGCCATAGAAAAGGCATATTAGAAAGTGAAATTGAAAAATATCTTCAGAGATCTTTCTTTGAAAATTTCTTTTCCCTGATAAAAACTATATTGTCTTGAAATAAATACAATATCAAAATCTATGTGTAGTTTTATTAAATCTAAGTAATTGTTAGATGGTGTTTCACCATAGTATTTAGGATATGAATACCATTTCTTTCACTGATTATGCCATATATGGGAAACACGTGAAACAGTAAAAGTTTAGTGTGCTGGGGGTGCTATTGACCACACATTGGTAGAGGAATTCTCTGTAGGAGAAGGTGATCTGGAGTGAGAAAAGTATCGCTAATTACAACTTGTGTTCTCATGATGTAATTAGAAAGTAACTTCTGGAAGTTCAACTTTTATGTACAAATTGTGAAATTAAAAAAAAAAGAAATTGTAGATTAATTTAATTGGGAAAATGGGTGATTGACAGAGACCGTTTCCTTAACACACTACATCATTTATGTGCTAGTACTTTAACTTTTTAAAAAATTTACTTCTATATTTTGTAATATGACATATGTGTGTTTATTTTTAATTTAGAATGTTATGCATACAGAATGTATGCCACCAAATCAATCAGATCAAACCATTTTACTGGAGTTTGGTACTGGTTTTTACTTCTCTGATTCTGTATAAGAAAAAATAAATATAATTGAATTTCCACTTGGAGTCTTTGCCTTTTCATTATTTCTGTGTCCTTTTATTGAGAATTTTGGGTGATACTGAAGAGAGGCTGATGTAACCTTCCTGGCAGACAATGAAGGAAGTAAAATTCTGTAGGCAACCTTTTTTTTTTTTTTTTTTCTTAAATGCTTGGTCTTCAGCATTGTTAATAGCCACAAAATTCTAGTTTCTGCTTTCTTTGAAGTAGCCCAGAGAGATTTTTAAAGGGATATATATTTTAAAAGTAAGGAGGACTTGAAGCACTTACTGATGAAGATCAAAGCCTACAGCCTTCAGTATGGATTCTACCTCAACATATAGAAAACAGATATCCTTACAACTGGACCAATAAGCAACATCATGATATATGGAAAAAAGGCTGAAGTTGTCAAGGATTTCATTTTACTTGGTTTCACAATCAACACCCATGGAAGCAACAGTCAAGAAATCAAATGATGTTATTGCATTGGGCAAATCTGCTGCAAAAGACCTCTTTAAAGTATTAAAAAAAAAAACATGGTGTTTTCAGTCACCTCATATGCATGTGAAAGCTGGATAATGAATATGGAAGACCCAAGAAGAATTGATGCCTATGAATTGTGATGTTGGCAAAGAATACTGAATATACCGTGGATTGCCAGAAGAAGGAACATATCTGCCTTGGAAGAAGTACAGCCAGAATGCTCCTTAGCAGTCAGCATGGGGACACTTCCTCTTATAAGCGAAAAAGAGAGAGACCCTCAATGAGATGAATTGCACGGTGGCTGCAACCGTGGTCTCAAGCACAGCAATGATTGTGAGGATAGCATGCAGGACTAGGCAGTGTTTTGTTTTGTCGTATGTGGGATCACTGTGAGTCAGAACTGCCTCAGCGGCACCCAACAACAACATATTTTTTAAAAATTATGCTTTCTAACACCCTCATAGAAATGTCTTTGTTAAAGAAAACCCTTCGTATTGACTGCGATATCAGAACTATAGGATTCTCAATCTTTGTTCTGTTATTAACAATAGGGTGTGGCTTATTTTTGTTGTTAAAATTAAAACCAAAACAGCAGCATTGTTCCCTCTTTGTGTGATGGTGTGAAGGCATATTTTCTGGTCTGTGGAGTTCCTTGGCTCTCACTGTCATGATACCGTTGTCCACTCAGCAAAAACATTAAATGAGAGTCCTCTGAGCAGAAGCATTCAGATAAACACCAGAAGAGGTGCTGGTGGAAACAACTTGCCAACATTCCAGAGTCTAAGCTTCATTCATCTTTTTAGAAAACATAAGTCATTATCATTTTTAAGGTAATATGTGCTCATTGCTGAAAATACCAACTTGTAAGCATAAAGGAAAAAGTGGGCATTCTCTGTCCCCCAAATCTCAAAATTTTTAAGAAGTATATATAAGATTGTTTTCCTTATAGCATAAGTTTGATTTTTGTTTTTCAACAACAGCAAAAAAAAATTATGCATACCGGTTTGGAACTTTGATTTTTTTTTTTTTTTTTTCCTCTTAGCAATAACAATTATAAAAACAAAAACCAAACTCACTGCTGTTGAGTCAGATTCGACTCATAGTGACTCTTCCTTGGGTTTCTGAGGAGGTATCACTACAGGAGTAGATTGCCCAACCATCCTTCCGAGGAGTGGTTGGTGGGCTTGAACCACTAGCTTTCTGGTTAGCAGTCAAATGCATTAGGCACTATGCCACCAGAGCTCCCCAATAACAATTATATTACTGTTAATTACTGAGCATTTGCTATGTGATAGTTATACCACGCTAAACTTGATAATACATAATTTGATATGCACAATGACCCTATTACTTCAACAATATTATCCTCACTTTATGGACGAAGAAACTGAGGTTCAATAACTTGTACAGGCTTACACAGGCAGCAGCAATTATATCCACTGTCTCATGACAGTATGTCTAGTTGATATGTCATTATTTAACAGTGAATAATACTCTTCCATATGGTGTTCTTCATTGGTAGCCATTTGGTTGCTTTCAGTTTTTGCCTTTGTAAACAATGCTGCAATAAACAGCCTGTGCCAGTATAAATATCACTAGAGGAAAATCCCTAGGAAAGAAAAAACTGCATAAAAAGTTATGTGATTTTAAATTTTGGTAGATATGCCAAATGTTCTTCCCAAAAAGATCATACTAATTTATACTCCCAGCAACAGTGTATGCAAAGGCCGATTTCACCACTGCCAACCTAGAGCTTGGTATTAAAAAACATAAAAGGAGTTGCCATCTATTCGAT